CCGACGAGGGCTTAGATTAAAGGAATGGTCGCTACAGTCTCCGTATGTACCTGAAAGTAATTAGTCTTTTGGGAAATTAACAAATTTTCGACACTGGTTCCTCAGATCGTCTTTAGACCTGCAGAAAATGTGCAAAACAGTCAAAAGTTTAGACGGGCCCAAAATTCGATGCTGCCATTTCATTCCCGCCAGCAAGCCATGGCTGTAGGTTGACATCCCGTACGGATTGGCTGTCACCTCTTCCATGTTTCCCTGAGATTATTGTGCACGGCGTCTAGTTCAGTGTGCCGATAAATGCATTATTCGTCGGAATGCACGACCTCCAAAAATTTTCGGCTCTTCTTGAATGGACAAGAGCCTTTTCCCAATCACATTTATGGCCATTTTCCAGCCTATGCAGGGCAATTTGTGAAAAGTGGTCTTGCCACTTCACGGACAAGTAATGTTCATGTGTGCGTGTAGAGGTCGACTATCCAGTTTGACCGCAGTACATTGCATAACAAGTGTCACACTGAGCCTTTCAGACGACTTCTTTCCTATCTAAATAGCTAACTCTGTTCTTAGGGTGTGCAAGCTGGTTGCGTCATGGGGTTGTCGGTTTGTGCGCACGGACTTTCAACGACTTCGGGCACGTTTTAGTGTACAGAAATATTCTCCAGAATTTCAGTCTGGGCGCTTAATCAGAACAATCTAGTTTCCTGTCTTTTTCTTTTAATTCCTGCTGTCTCATGCATCGGCGTACAAAATCTCCAGAGTACCCATTTTTGTAAAGCGGTTTGAACAAATTACTTTTTTTTATTTGGCAGCTATCGCTACCAGAACAATGCATTTTTGCTCGATTGAGTAGGCTGGTAACAACATTCCGTTTGCGAGCAATAGCATGATTGCTCTTGTAGTTTAAAAAGACTTCCGCATAAGTTTTTTGCGACATACCGGTTAATGTTTCACAATATTGTGTCAGTTGATGGAGCTTGTGGAATAGCCATTTATGGGTCCTGTGACTGGGTTCACCGATTATTTATACCATAGGTTGCAGTGGTACTTCAGGTTTGCGACTTTTAGGCAGCCCATAACTATTAGCGATGGCGGGTTCCATTTGCCTCGGGGATTTGGAAATATCTCCTGATATTTTCTCCTTCCCTATAAGGCGCTACGTTTATATATCAAGTGTTTTTCGCTCTTCGCTAAATCCACGCAGCATATTACGTTAGCACCTGTTAAGTGGCCTTCAATATTTAAAGTGTTACCGTAGCAAAATACTGAGACAAGAAGAAGGAGAAAAAAAGACGTTTTGACTATTCCCAGGACCACTTTGTTATTCTTCTGACATTCCGAACCCTCGCGCGACAACATTGCCTACGAATGTAGGAAGGAGTAACACACAGCATTTTTAACTCACATTGGCGGGGAATAGCCCTTAACAGGGTCAGTGATTCCTTTCTCAGCGCTGGATTAGCGACTGCCAAGCCTGTGCATCCGTTGATTAACTCCTTGGTCGAGCGCCATGTTTCCTTTAGTAGACCCGAAAGCTGGTCGTCCGACGATGGGCCCGCGTGAGAGTCCGGACGTTGGATAAATAACCAACCGGGCCCAGAGATCGTCTTCTCTATTTCTTCTGCCTGGAAGTTGCGTACTTTCCACCATTGGAAAGAAAGGCATCCCAAAGAAATCTAATTAGAAATAGATAGCGCTTTTGAATGACGAAATAATTTTTATTGCGTGAATTTTCGAAACTGGTACCCCAGCCCGTAGTCAGATGAATGGGCAATGTACAAATTCAGTTAAAGTTTTAACCGTGTCGAACGAAGTATTATGCGGTTGACTAACGTTGACATACTAAGATACCCTATCGGTAGTGGCTACGCCCATTTCTACTTGTATGTGCAATCTAAACCGATAAGCTTATTGATTCATGCCTCGTCCAAACTCATAATGAGTGACCGATCTCATGAAATGTTGGCAGAAATTCTTAAATGCGTTTCCGCATAGGACGAATTACTTAGGTGGGGTTGTAATATTGGCTATCGGGCGGCATAATCCTATAATATTTCGGACTCTCCAGGACGTCTGCTTCTGAATGCACTTCCTTCCAACCTCCCGCCAAAACCGCACTCGATAAAAAATAATTGCTTAAGTAGTAGGCAGTTTTCACATTGATTTTCGATGGTCTTATAAATTCTACTCGCTCGGTAGAGGATTGCGTTGTCTTCACATTTTATATCCGAAGAAAGTGTATATTTAGGTTTTTTAAGACCGTACGGTGTCCATTCATACGTCATCGTACCTGTCCGTTTATCAATTCTCCTCAATGAATGTCCAACATAGTCCGCATCCACTGCAAAACTTGATGAGCACTATATGCATCTTCTTAAAGGCCTGGGAAAGCTTGCACCTCGCAGACTGAAATCGGTAAACATTTATACAATGGCTGATCAGGTTTAAAGTTTTTCGGGAATTGGGAAACATTTTCAAAACCTAAATTTACACTTTCTTCGGGTGCAAAATGTGAAGACAATGTGATCCTCTACCGAACGAGTAGAAAAAAGCATATCTTGTAAATTTTTTATAAAATATATTTAAAATCAGTGTGAAAAATGTATGCTAATTAGTGGTCATTTTTTGCCGAACGTGGTTTCTACAGAAGGTCGACAAGGGATGCATTTAAAAGCCGGAATCCTGGAGAGTCCGAATTATTATATGATTATGCCGCATGTTAATCAATAGTACAACTTTGCCTAAGTAATTCATCCTGGTCAAAAACGTATTTTAGACTTTCAGCTAACATTTCATAGAAGTTGCGACCCTCCTCTGCTACGTAGACGTCGGCGATGCAGGTTTTCTCTCTCGCATACGCATGTCCTGTGTTATATGTGTGCTTGGCTATATGGCATAAATGGTTTCGTCTCTTCGTTGCTCGCTGGGCGTTCATGTATACGGGTGAAGAGAGGCGCGCTCAGGGCAGTGACATGCGTGCGTTAGTTTAAAGGGGGTCAGGCTTGCGCAGAATTTACTGTACTTTTTCGGTCCTAGCCCACATACCTCCGGTGACGAGACGACCGAAAGTGGTCTCGGGCGCGGCATATCACATAGTTTCCGTGCTTTCGTGGGGGCGGTCGCGAGACTAGGTACGTGAAAGTCATAAAGCCTACACTGAGAAGTAGCTACTGCAGACTCGGTTTCAGTTCTGACAGGACCGAATCACCTCGGCAGTTGACAGTCTTCCAAGTTATGACTCATATTTTGGGGTAGCACTCTCCATTTGTTTGCAATTGCTCTCGGTCCTAAGTAAATCGTCTGCCATAGGCATTCTATATCACGCCAAATCTGCACTATCTAATGCGCCCGATCTCCACATTCTGGACTTCCTTGCCTGCCATCCAAACGGGTGATCGGCTTACCGCGGATGACGAGATCATTCTCTAAATTAATTGCGCGCTCATATTTGTAATTGGCTACCCGATGCCCCATGGGGGCCAGCCCATTATGACAGTTTGAACGTCATTGTCGACTAATGTCCACCGTGTGCTCTATAAAAACGTGAAATAGGCACGGCGATTTGCGCGTGATATATATTATAATGAATATAGCCCTGCGCTGCATCTACCGCACTCCCTCCTCCCCCACCTGAACCGGTATCAAGATAGAGTCAAGAAAGGGGGCAGGGGAGGATGCAGGTGGATGACGCGGTCGAGCTCGCACCTTGGCCCTTAACTTCGCATCCCCTGGTCCACACGGCAGGTGACCAGGACTTGACCAACAACAACAGGGTGGCTGGCACTGCCGAAGTCGCACCTAGTCATGCCGTCACGCCTGGCTCGGATTCCGCGGAGTCGGAGTGTCACAGAGGCCAAATTAAGAAGGAGCCATTACAGCCTGACTCTCAGACCACCACCCGGCCATTGCATACAAACTCACAACACTGGGCCGACTGCGAGGTAAAAGTTATTCCGTCAGTTGGTAACCTTCCAAGCCACGGCTTTTAGCGCGCCGTGATAGATCCAAACGCGTCAGATTGTTTGTATTGAGGAAGATGCACTGAGTCGTCGACCTCACTCTCCCTTCCCATTCCCAGGCCCCGGCCACTGTCCGAGACGGTTAGTTAACAGATGCGGGGAATGTGCGCGATGGCTGACATATCTAGTGACCTTGTCTGCGCGCGCCACATGCATGACCTGGCCCCTCAAACATAAGCCCGTGGCCACAAACAGAAGAACCATGGTTTCGCCTTCGAGAAAGCAAGAGTAATCGACCAAGCCATTGGTAAGATGGACAGACTGATGCTAGAAAGTTGGTCCTCAACCGGCACATTAGACAGAGTCAAAGACCTGCATCCCGCCTACCACGCGCTACGGATAAGGCTCGAGTCAGTGCGGATAAGACCATCTAAACGGTCGAACAAAGTCACAGGTGGCCGACAGCTGATGCCGACGAAGAATAAGAGAGAAGTCGGCCGGAGATCAGGTGACCAGCACGGGACACCACCTCACCGCGGCGCCCACGAGACTGAGACCAACATACACGAGCCCCAACAACTGATCAGCCCGTCGAGTGACGAGGGGAAGGCCGACAAGCATGCTGGCTCACCAACAATTACGACGGCCGCAAAGGGGTCAAAAGTGACACGAGTCCACCGGCGGTCAATCGGGGAGATGTCAACGCTAGTCGGCGGCGAACGGGCAGGGAATAGTTCGTGCCTCAAGCACGGATATAATACCAGGCAGATATCAAGGCTGAAGCAATCAAGTTCAGCAGGAACAGCCAACACATTATTCTGATGATGGAAACGAGAGGGTTTCCGAAACGTCAGTTCAAATATAACATGGTCTATGAATTCGCCCTCTCTTCGAGGGATGATGAACGCGACGCAATATCTGGACCTCGAATCTTCACTCATGTTGATCTATATTTATAGATCTGAGTTGTTCTGTCTCGCCGCCTGTCTCGTGTTATACGCATGCCTGATCCACGAACTCTGACCTGCTAGCTGGCGGGGGATTGGCTTAGGTCTCTCCGTGGCCGACCGCTGGGGCGCTAGTGTGACCTCTGCCCCCTGCCCGGCCGCTGTTGTCTTTGCTAGGTGCGTGTGCCCTTGGGCCCTCCCCCCCATAATTTGACGAGCTGATCAGCTGCCGTTGCATATGGGAATCGTGGTCGGCTGTTTGTGCGCGTCGGTGGGTCGATGTCTCGCGTCGGTCGTCTGACACCCGGCTGGCTCTCTCCCCCTGCTGTGAAGGTGACAACTGTTGAGAGAGCCGCGATTTGTTCACCAGTGCTGTCGGCTCCGGCCGAACTGACTGGAGCCTCGTACGAAGTGCCTGGTAGGCCGGATGAAGATCAATGGCTCTGTTGGTTGTGTCAACGGAGGACCAACTTCCGAGAGCCAGTCTGGCTATCTTGTCGCTTGCTCGGCCGATGACGCTTGCCTCCCCAAAGGCGAAACTGTGCTTCTCCTGTTGTCTGTGGCCATGTACCAGTGACAGCTTATCCTCGCGGTTGACTGCAAGCTGGTGCTCGTGCAATCTTGTGCAGAGGCGTTTGCCCGTATCACCAACATACTTTGCACTGCAATCTTGGCAAGATATGCTGTAGACCACTGCTGATTGTTCCGTTGCAGGTAGCTGGTCTTTAGACCTCATTATCTGTTGCCTGATAGTGGATTCCGGTTTATGGGCCACCCCAATCCTAAAAGGGCTCAGGATTCTTGCTATCGCCTCAGAAACATTCCTCATTTAGGGGATTGCGAGCCAGAACTTCGGCTTTTCATCGTTAGATCGTTGGCGGTTAAATCCTCTTCGGCGCTCACGTATGAAGGATCGTGGGTAACCATTGGCTGTGAATAGGAAATGTAGGTACTTCACTACCTTCCTTCTCCCGTCGTTGTCATTACAGTGTGTTTGAACTCGTTGGAAAAGAGCTCTGACACAACTGCGTTTGTGACCAATGGGGTGGTTACTCCGGAATTGGAGGATGCGTCTGGTATTCGTTGCCTTTCGGTATACCGTAGTTCTGATCCCCCCATTAGCCATCCTTGTGATGTTTACGTTAAGGAAGGGCAACTGGTTGTTTTCCTCCTCTTCCATTGTGAATTGGATGTCGGGGAATATTGAGTTCAACAAGACTTTGAAGTCCTGAACGTCGTTTCTCTTGATTACGACAAATGTGTCGTCGTCGTATCTGGCCCAGAATTTTGGGGAGTACGAACGGAAGACCAGTCGCTCGAGCCTCTGCAGAACAGCCTGGGCAATCAGTCCAGACAGCGAGGAGCCCATCGGTGTTCCCTTATTTTGTTCGTAAACCCGGTTGTTGAAAGTGAAGAAAGTTCTAAGGCACAATTCCAGGAGTTCGATGACGTGCGTTCGTTTAAGCGGTTGATCAGTTTCATCTTCTCCTGAAGAAGCTGTTTAATGGTGCTGATGGCAAGGTCGGTTGGAATGGAGGTAAATAAAGAGACCAGATCAAACGATACCATCATCTCGTCTGGCTCTATTTCTATATGTCTGATACTCCTCAAAAACTGCTCAACCGATTGCACCGTTCATTCCGAATCCTCGGTCAGGAAACGGAATCGTTGGCAAAGCCATTTCGGGACATGACATTTAAGGCTCAGAACCGAAATTCCAATGAACATTTGAGTCGAAGACAATCAACTACTGTGGACTAACCACGTAATGCCCATCCTATAAATAAGTAGTACTACGAGTAGTATGAATTGCATATGGAAAAGGTATTATACCGTACTCTCGACATAGATACTTACTAAAAGCCCAGACACGTGTTTCGCCGATATTCTGCCGCTACGTGACACAGCTGCGAGGGGTTCGACTCTTCAGTGGGACCCCCAGCCTTCTCTAGCGGTTTCTGGTATATAAACACCAAGTCCTGCACTGGGTAATTTCTGAAATTATTCTCTTGATTATTCTCTGGATTTCATATACCAGGAACCGCTAGATAAGGCTGGGGGTCCCACTGAAGAGCCGAATCCCTCGCAGCTGTGTCACGCAGCGGTAGAATATCGGCGAAACACGTGTCTGGCAAATCGATACTTCGATTGATCTGGTTGATGTCTGATTTCCCGGCCTCGATTACTTCCCTCGCCAGTTTGCTTTTGACTCGGCCGAGCACTTGGGCGCCGTCAAAGTCGAACTTGTGATTATATTCCAGACATTGCGTGGCGGCATGCGATCGTACGTCCTTTTGCCTTACGACCGTGTATTTCTCCCTTAGTCTATCTCTGATGATGTGCTCGAGCATGAGAACGAAACGCCAGAGGAATGAACCTTCTTCCCCAGAGATCGCCTCATCTTCCTCTTCCATGTTAACACCTGGGGTCGGAATTTTTGTCTATATCCATGAGACTTCCGGGCGCGAAGCGCTTCGCCAAGCGCGGCACTGGGAGTTATTTTCCTGTAGACAGGGATCTACATGGGAACAATTGGCCTTTCTGCACAACCGCCTGAGATCAGACATTATGCAGAGGAGCATCTCTGTAAGGCCATCAGCTAGAACTGATTTCGATCGTGAGGTCGCCAGAAGCTGCAGCCGACGCCTACTATGAACCCTCATCAACGAATACCACATTCGTCTATGAGAATACGGCAAGGAAATCGAAATGGCGAAAACAACATGTGCATCATATCTGGAGACGAAAATACTGCGAAACCTGGAGAGCTGTATTTTGATTAAGGTGAACGAGGAGCGAAATAAGAAGACCCAAATCCTCAACAAAATGTGCAATCCAAGACAATCACAATCAACGGTGCTCGCATCTTCATCCGTCCACAACCTGTCATCCAAACAGCTGACAGAGAACCAAGTTAAAGATCTTCAACATCAATCCAATTAAAACACAGGAGACGCACAGTCAGTGGACTTCATCGCTACACTAGAAGCGACACTCTCAAAAACGGATACCACGGAAGATTCAAAGAACGTGATTTGCCAAAGAGTCGCGTCCCTCATCATATCCCACAGACCTCGCCGAACCATCCCGTCAGCGGAGGTATAGGCCATCAGGGAATTTAAGAGGGATGAAGAAATTGTCATTGTTTCAGCAGACAAAGGGCGGGCAATCGTGGTGCTAGACAAGTCGGACTATGTTGCAAAGGCGCAGCAGCTACTAAACGACAACCAATCGTATAAATTCATCGATTCCGACTTCATGAAAGCACTGGTAAGCAAAACCAACAAGAGCCTCAACCAGATGAGGAACGAAAAGGCAATATCCGGAAAGGATTGGAGACAAATGAAACCCCAAGATGTTGCCTTAGCAGTTTTATGATTTGCCAAAAATCCGCAAGCCAAATTAATAATTATCTTATCTGATGCAAGTTTACAGGCATTGTCAGGGAAGCGTTAAACACAAATCCGGCCAGCAGTCAAAAAACTCCTGTGGAAAAGGAATAAAACTATGGTTGATGGTGGTTTTATGGATTGGAGGGCTCAGGAGAAAAAAAACTGCTGGCGACAAGCTTCCGATCGTCAAGAAGGGAGGGGTTGCACGGTATCGGATATTATCAGTCGCCAATTTCTTTCATGAAGTTAGAGTTAGTCCAACCAGAAGCGCCGAAGAACAGCTGTCGCTGTTGGCCAAAGAAATTGTCCCTCGTGAGGCCGGCCATAATGGTCAGAGGCCACAAACGCAATCGCTACGGTATAGTCGATCAAAGGATTCAGCACCCAAACTTTGTGGGAGCTTTTCTGAATGCAAAAATCGAGTAATAGATCTCTTAAATAAAGGATAATTTTGCAGATTTTTCACACTCCTGGGTAGTTTATTCCAAATAGCAATTGCATTTACAGAAAAGAACCGACGTGGAAGAAATAAAAAACATCATGGTGACTGTTACGTCGGGGGTGAACATGATGTCTTAAAGAGGTGAGCGGCTTAAATGTGTGATTATATAAGAGTTTAAATAGCAAAAATAGTCTTTTTTGTAATCTACGAAACCATAATGGATCAAGGCCCGTAAGCCAGCAACGTTCTGCGTATGACAAATGTCGGTGTTCCAGGGTTCAAGCTCTCTTGGTAAAAAAAAGTCTTGATAAAAAATGTTCCCCTACGGCCCATTGTGGCGCTGAAAGGCACACCTACATATGGACTGGCTAAATGGCTTGCCAAGCATTTGAAAAAGCTGACGGACGGCTCAGAACGCACAGCTGTATCGTCAACACACTTCTTGGAAAGACTCAAAGGCG